CGAGCTCCGCCGGCGCCCGCGGCGTCGACGCCAGCGTCGAGATGGTCTGGTTCGTCAGCACCGGCGTGTAGTGCACGTGCGGCCGGACGAGCTCGTGCGCCGCGACCACCGAGTCCCGCGTGAGCGGCAGCCATGTGGAGGGGTCGGCCATTGCCCTGTGAGGGTTGGCGATGTGTGCTGGACCTTGTGTGGGTTGGGAGGACGGAAGAGGGATGAAGTAATGGGAGGATGCCGTATTAGTCTTAGATTTGGCCTATGAGGAAAATGGACTAGGTGTGCAGCAATCCCGGAGCCTCAAATGGGACAGTTTAGTGAGAAGAGTTGAGATGTGAAAGGTCAAAAAGGTCACTTGAAAACGCAATGAGGGGGGCCGCCGATAACGGAAAGGAAATAGCATCGGATATTTCAGAACGAACTGGAAGGTATGATTGATGATGATGATGATGATGATAGAGCTTTCATAGGGAAAGCAATTTGGATCTTGTCACCGTGACAGACTGACAGACATGAAGGCTTCACAGAGCCGAAAGCAAAAATAACTTTTGTGACGAGCCCCCAGATTCCGCGAATCTAGATATAAGTACAAAAGTCCCAGGGCCTGGTACCCCATTGTCGCATTCACCGTCCCATAGAAACGCCTCTTGCTTATTTCTGGTTCTCCGGTCGGAGAGAGCTGATTGACACGCAGTGTTAGTGATGCTCAATTGCGCGAGGAAAAGTGGTGGGGAATGATGCCTACCGGACGGCCTTGCCTGCCCTCCAGATCTCCAGGTTGCGGATCTCCTCCATCTCGGCCTCGTACTTCTCTCTGTAGTCGGGCTGGCTGTTGTACTCGAGAGAGCGCTTGGTCTCGTCGCCGTTCTTCACAGAGTCGTACAGGGAGTTGAAGACGGGCTTCAGGGCATCCTTGAAGCGGGGGCTCCAGTCAATGGCACCACGGCGAGCGGTGGTGGAGCAAGCCTCGTACATCCAGTCCATACCGTTGGCGCCGATGAGAGGGTACAAGCTCTGGGTAGCCTCCTCGACAGTCTCGTTGAAAGCCTCGCTGGGGCTGTGGCCACGCTCACGGAGAACCTCGTACTGGGCCAGGAACATGCCGTGGATACCACCCATCAAGCAGCCACGCTCACCGTAAAGGTCAGAGTAGACCTCCTTCTCGAAGGTGGTCCTGTAGAGGTAACCACTGCCGACGGCAACACCGAGGGCAATAGCCTTCTCCTCAGCCTTGCCAGTGACGTCCTGGTAGACGGCGAAAGAGGAGTTGATACCACGGCCCTCACGGAAGAGAGATCGCACGGTACGGCCGGAACCCTTGGGGGCAACGAGGATGACATCGACGTCAGTGGGAACATCGACCTTGGTGAGGTCCTTGAAGACGGGCGAGAAGCCGTGAGAGAAGTACAGGGTCTGTTTGCGGGTTAGCTTCTGCTGCCTTTGAGCTATTTGCTGCCAGCGGTGTGCTTACCTTGCCCTTGGTGATCTGGGGCTTCAGGTGAGGCCAGGTCTCAGACTGGGCAGCATCACTGAGCAGGTTCATGATGACGGTACCCTTGGAGATGGCCTCATCGACCTCGAACAGGTTCTTGCCCGGGACCCAGCCATCCTGCTCGGCATCCTTCCAGGACTTGCCGTTCTTTCGGACGCCAATGATGACGTTCAGGCCATTGTCGCGAAGGTTGAGACCCTGACCGTGGCCCTGAGAGCCGTAGCCGATCAGAGCAAGGGTGTCGTTCTTGAAGTAGTCCTTTTAGTCAAGTTAGCACTGTAGTTCTAGATGTTTTTGATATAAAATAAGTTGGCGGTGACTCACCAGGAGCTTCTCCTTGGGCCAATCCTCACGCTCTGGGATGTAGCAGTCAGCAATGAAATTCAACGTCCAGCAACGATAAAAACCTAGGCGTAAGCTCACCGAAGACCTCCTCGGGATGGCCAGCAAAGTCAATGGTCTTGACACCGCGGACCTGCTGCTGGGCCGGGCCAGCAACGGCAACAGGGCGGGCGACAGCAGTGGCGCGGACGGCGTTGAGGGCCGAGACGAAGGTGCGTCGCTGGACGGCGGGCTTGACCAATTGGCGGGCCAATGGCGACCTCACGGCCTTAGAAAAGCTTCTGGAGGACATTTTGATGGAGATTGAGCGGAGATTGGTGATACTGGAGGATGGTGTTGAGAGAAAAGCTTCAACGAGATCTACTAGGAAGCTTTGCAAAGACTCACACTGGCGCCGCCCGATAGCGCACAAAATTTTCCTAGGTAAAACTGGCAGGGTCTTTAGCACGGAGTTTTGCTGACCGACTTCGCAGTGGTGGGGAATCTGGGGGCATGCAGGGATTGGTCTAGTACCGGTACTCTCCCAGCGTGCTTCTTCCGCAAAATTACTCTAGAATGCTCGTACCGGTACACTTTCTATGAGCACGCGAGATCTAATAGCCTGCCTATGATTGCTGGTAGAGACTGATGTGAGCACTGCATGACAAGAAAAGCCTACTATGTACCTAGGTATGTATGTATGCATGTCACTCACTACCTGTACACCGCTCTCGAGGCGAGGTACTGGTGGGAACTGCATGTGAGAGGTCTGCGAGTGTCTCATCATGTCATGTCTTATTGTCCGTCCAAGTCTGGTCTGTCTGTCTGTTTGTCTTGTCGGAGGATCTATATAGCGTAAAGGGAGAATATGTATGGGAGGCGATTCAGGCTCTGTGACAGGCAGGCCGTCGAGGAGATCAAAATCACGACCAGAACGTTGCCGGCTCAGAAAGAAAGAAAAGCCTTACCCCCTGATAAAATCACAATCAAAAAATAAAATAAAAATAATAAACGCCTCAAGATGAATGCTCGCATCTATGCCGCCTGCGACTCCTCGCTGCCTCTATGCAACAAAGCCGTCACCGTCCATGTTCCTCATGCCCCTATTATTTCAGCACCCTATCGAATGTCTGCCCTTTGACGGTCCCGCCGGCCATGGACGACCGTACGTTTCGCTTGAATCCCTCTCTGTTGTTCCGTAGATCATCAGCGGCCTCCTTGTTGAGAGGGTCTGAGGCATTGGGCTCGAGGAATAGGAACTGAAGGCCGACGATAACGGCATTCAGGTTCAGCACGGGCTTCCAGTCCTCCCGTAGAATGTTCAGGCACACCTTGCCTTCCAGGTCGATGTTCGGGTGGTAGATTTTCTGCGTGCAGAGCACCTTTGGCGGCTCGTGGGGGAAGTTCTGGTTGATGTCGAAGGTAAAGTAGAATTTGCCCCCTCGGTACATGCCCTCGTCCGGCTCGATGGTCAGGGTGAACTTGAGGATGTTATCGGGGTCTGGGAATTCGGTCTTCATCGTTGAGCCCAGTGACAGCTCTGAGAGATCTGAGATCCGGACACCATGTTAGCAAAGATTCATCCTTGACAGAGGGGCCTGCGTCTGCTGATAAGATACCTTTCTGCACACGTAGCTGCGCTGCCGTCACCTTCTTCTTCTTTCCGCCTGCTGCTCCTTCGGCATTTTCAGCCTTTTGCTGCTCCTTTTTCTGTTGCGCCGCGTCAGTGCCTTGCATTCCTCCTCTGAGTGCCATGTTCGTGACTCACCATAGACCAGATCTTCAACATCTTGGGCGACTGTCCGACTCTCGTCGAGTATGCGGGGGAATCATGCAAGAGGCAAGTAAAAGGAAATAGGTATTAGGGGTTCGAAGTCACACCGCGAAAGTGATTAGAAAGGGAAAAATGTCGTCTTCGAGAAGTATCCAGACAGGCGGTTGTCTGGTGATTGCCACTAAGGAAGTTGGAGCCTGACGGAATTTCTATGGCCACCCGGGTTCCTTGCGTAATTGATGCCGCGCTGGTACTATTCGCGGGGCTGAGGTGGGATGAACTAAGGTTGGTGAGGCTAAGGCAGATAGATAGGCGCTGGTCAGGTAATCTGGCGCAGTGAATTGGTGAGTCAGCATAGCTTTTCTTAGGGACTACTTAAGCCCCTGATATTTGTACCGATGCCTTTCTACACCTCTGCCGGGGTAATATTTGTTAATTCTGAGAAGGAATCGTGACTTTTCAGACAAGAGAGTTGCTGCTTTTGTCAAGACCAGCAGGCCTATAGAAATAAACAGAATCTTCAAAGCCTCAATCAGGTATATTCAACTCGCTAAAATAACGTTTATTACCCTGGCGGAGGCGTAACACCCATTGCTCAATCTCAACAACACTGCACAGAATGCACAAGAAGGTTCACACAAGCTTCAAGGTGTTGGTTATATGCTCACAAGGTACTATGAATAGCCGAACAAGAGTAAAGCCATACAATCACAGCTTCACTTTTCACAAATCAAATATATCGCAAACCTGAGTGATAAGAATAATATCTTTCCATATTATGACATATAGCTACCTTAGAAGTCAAGAAACTAGAGAACTGAACGCCAGAGTCATGCCCGATATTTTTCTGTCAAGCCCCTTCTCAAGCTATGTACCAGGTCTGACTCTCCTCCAACTTATGGAAGGGTATTTATTTTCATGCTATGCCTCGCCTATTTCAATATGCGTGACAGAAATACTTTACAACTTGCTTCTTCTTGGCTCGCGGGGAAATCCTGCCTCGCGGGTGCCGATGCCTCTGCAAAGGAAACCTTTTAGCGTCTGGCAAAGCAGCACATGAGACCAGTCCTGCCCAGGAACCAGCAGAAACCGATGAAACGCACAATGGAGAGGGCGCCGGTGGCGAATAGCAGGAACTTGAAGAACCAGGCAGTACGCGCTGATGCGGTTTTCTATGCAGATATGTTAGTAAACTGTTTATCAGAAGAGAGCTTGTAGGGCGATAACTTACGCCAATGCCAAACGAGTTGAAGTTATCACTAGTGATGATAACCGCAAGCAAACAGTTCGAGAACAGCCATGTTGTGACAAGCATCGTTCGGAAAGACTTGTACGAGTCCTCGAGGTCCTTGGGCTCAGGCTTCACCTCTTCCTTGAAAGGAGCGAGAGCTCGGCGGACAGTCGACTCGAACTGGCTATCGATATCTTCTTGAGGCTTGTCAATCTCCTCCACGACAGCTTCGTCCTTCTCGCCCTTGGTGACAGTGGCCGATGGGAGACTTTCGTTCGCGTCGGAGCCCTTGGTTCCCCATGAGACATCATGCCAGTTGTTGAATGCGTAGACCATAAGAATGTTGATGTACGTGGACATGAGCACCATGTAGAACGGGAAGGAGTGGAACATGTGCCATGGATCCAGGTACATGAACGAGGCGATGAAGTACAGGCCGTAGATCGTAATCAGCGCCACAAGAATGACACCTGCTGATGATGAACCTCCGAAAATGCTTCCCAAGAAGTCGCCAACGTTGTCTGTCTTGATTTGTTCAGAAAGAGGAGTATTGAAAGCCTGGACGACGAGATACGCAGATAGGATTAGAATGTATGTCTGAATGACTGCGAAGACAACGAATGATGTGATGTATGTGTACTTGGATCCCTTCGGCCGATTACCCAGAGCCAAAATGAACTGCAGGATGACGAAGGCCAAGTAGATATACTTCAAAGATGCGTTCACAAAGGGAGTGACTGTGTCACCAAAAGGCCAGCCGTGGTGTTCCGAAGACGAGTCAGAAGCCACAGTAGGGGTGCCGACAAGGTCCATGATAACCGTTGTGGTGAGCCAATAGGATGCCAGAGAGAACCAGGTGAAGATGACGTTGAGAATGTTGTAGATGAGCTGGATGTGGAGGAAGAACATGCGAATCAGGTTGTGACCACTCTTGTACATACGTCCGAAATGCATCAGGGAGTACAAGCTGGCGGCGAATGAACCGTTGAGCCATCGTCGACGCTGAGAGATGAACTCTGGAGCTCCTTCAGGAACATCTGTTTCACCCTTTGCGGCTTTGATATAGCTCAAATGCCACTTCTGACCGGCCTTGGCGACCAATTCGAAGCAAAGAATACGATCTTCGGCCAAGAACATGTTCTTCTTGAAAATGTTCATGCCCTCGATACCCTTCTTACCAAGAATCTTGGATAGAGTATGGTCACCGTGGAAGTATTGCTCCAGGGGCCGGCCCATGATAGCTCTGAATCTGTAGGCGGAGAAAGCACCCGGCAACACACTAACGTAACCAAAGGCGCTCTCCAAAGGCTTGTCCAGAATGTTAGAGATCTTGTACTCGAAGTTCTGCACAGCTACCAACGGGTTCAGCAGCTTGCGCCCACCCTTTCCTAACATAGCGTGTATCTCACCACAGGCACCTCCTAAGTCCTTGTCGTTGTAAAAGCCCTCCCAAAGCGCCAAAAGTGACTTCGGGCTGGGTTTTGTACCAGCATCAATCAAGATGCAGACCTCAGGGTTTAGGATACGGCCAAAGGCATTAAACAGCCAACGGTGAGAGTTGATCTTCTTGCTGTTCTTGCCCTTCAGACAGAAGATGAACTGAACAGGAGGCAATGTGGATGCGCTCTCATCCATTGGTCGAATGAGCTGCTGGTTCGGAGTCACAGACAGCTGGGTGGTGTACTCGAAAATGTGAGCGACGGTCTCTTCGCCATTAACATCCTTCTTGACAACTCCGTCCTGGTAGACACCAATTGTGGCTAGTACGTCCAGGACGTTCTTGTCAGCTTTCTCGAGACCGTCGAAAACCAAGCAGACGACAATTTTCTGCCATGCAGGACCACCCTTGTTCCAGAATGTCGACTTCTTAAGGTTGACAATGTCTCGAATATTCTGCATCACACCGTGGAGGGTTCTGGAGAGCAAGACCTTGTCCTCGTTATAGTACGTGACCGCAATGAGAAGCTCGGTGTGTCTGTTGTACATGCGAGGGCGCAGATCGTAGCCGTTCTTGAGGGTAAAGTCGTTCGGGTCGCAAGTTGCGGCAGTATATCGCATCTTCATGAACTCCTCATTGTTTCCCTCGATATCTCGGTACTTGGGCTGTACAGCATTTCTGATGGCACTGGGGACTGGGTAGTCAATGCTCAGGACGGAGCCCTGAACAAGCTTGACTTTACGGGTGGCATAGCGCTTCAGGCCGCCGCTAGGGGCCATTCTCGGATCTTGACGTCTGAGCCAGCTCTCGTCAGGATCGATTGAAGACGCAGGGCGCCCCGGCTGCCCAACAGGGAAGCCAGTGTCGTCGAGCTCATGGTGGAAACCGCCATTGCCATATTCAGGGTTGAATGGAGAAACTCCAGGCCCGGCGCCAACGGCAACTCCAGGGCGAGTAGGAGCTGCTCCTGGAGCATACGACTCGGTCAGGCTGTAGGCGGAGACCGGTCGGACTGGGGGTGTATGTGTTCCAAGTCGGTCTTGTTCGTACATGGTTGAACCTTGGCTTAGCAGCGATCGCTGGGCCTCGTCATCAGTCTCCTCTCCGGGTGGGAGGTGGTACTGTACGGGGCATCAGATTAGAAATATTTTCAAAGCTTCAAGGGAGATTATCAACGAACAGTAGGATTAGGAGGAAGGTCCTGCATCCGATGGTCATAGCCATCGCCCCGGCCGTTGTACGCCATTGTTGGCAAGCAGTTTCAATGGCGAGCAGCAGTGACGAAGGAGGTCTTATGAGGCCGTCCAAACTAGATGTATGATGGTTATATGAATCGTGGTATCTGGGTATTGATGTAGTCCGTCAAAAAGAACAGGATGAAGCTGCGAAATGCCCCTCGTGATGGCAGACAAAGAAAGAAACCGACGGCTGGTTGCAAGATCGGACAGCTGGGGGCTTGGCGCAGACGGGCGAAACGGGACGGCCACAAAGGTCCGTGGAGGTGTCAAAGGGCAGGATGAACGAGAGAATATGATACAGTCCGTCCACCAGTTGAGCAGGACGACGACGACGATGATGATGGACGAGGTCGAGAAAGGTTTTTACAGCATGTCAAGAAAAGAGCTGGAGGAGAATAGGAGAGCCAGTCGTGTCCATTAAGAGGCAACCTTGGAGAAGAATCCAGCTTGTGGCTGAGCAAGGGTGCAGCATTTCCAGACGGGGTTTTGGTGGTATCCACACGTCAACGTGCACTACCGGCGTCATTCACGGGGTCGTTAGTGCGCTCGTAGTGGTGGCCAGCGACCTGCGAGCCTGCCTACCTCCCGAATAGCAGCATTCTCAACCAAGGCCAGGAGAGTGCAGGTGGCCCCCTAGCCAGCGAGCCAGCCAATGCCACCCCAAAGACGAGAAACGACGTCACTCAGCCCCCGTGCCGCCAACAAACAATCGCCTCCTTCACCACGATGGGCAGGGAGGTGAGATCGATCCAGCCATCCATCCATCCATCCATCCAGAGCTAGCAGGAAACCGCCTCGAAGCGCAGCTGATCTGAAGGAAAGGCACATCCTTCTAGAACCTCAAAATAAAGTTATGGGCGCATGTGCTCTAATTAGGTCCTCCTACCACATACCCAGTACTTGTGTTAGAAGCTCCAAGCTGGAGAGCTCGGTCACATTGGGGTGCTTGTGTTTCAACAAGAGCCAGGAAAAAGCGGGATGTCAGGTAACACGGCAGCTTGTTGTCTCCTCCCGTCGCTCTGGCTGGCCCTGAATCAGCAATAACAGCAGCCCCTTCAAGGTGCAGCAGTAGACAACTTAGACGAGCTCAAGACTGGGAGACCCGCGAATCAGCCTGGCAGCCTGACGACTTGCTAGCTAAATGGCCTATAAGCGACCGAGGCCCTCCTAACGAGCGCCAGCGCAAGCCATCCCATGCCCTGGCTAGATGGAATCATGGGTGTGGGCGCCTGAGGCAACAATGCAATTCTTCTGAAACAAGCCAGCCCGGCAAGTCTGCAGAAAGGAGAAAGAAGTTTTGCGGTTGAGAGTCAGCACACCTGCATATTCCATTGTCTCATGTTTTCCACTGCGTGCCACGGCGTTCCCATGGCAGAGGCAATACGACAGAAAACTCTTCGGATGCAACGTGAGCTTTCTTCTATTCACAGCATCACAAACACGAGGTCTGCTTGGCCTGCATTATTCCTGGTCGCCATCCGCTGTATTTCGTTCTATCTTTTTTGAGTTTCCCACTCCCACGCCGCGTGTTCGGTTGTACCCGGCCAAGCGCCCCGTCCTATCATCCCCCCAGCGCCAGAGTAGGGCATTTCTGTTAGTGCGCCGTTCGCTACCCGTACGCGTGTTGCCTTGCTCTAACGTTTAGGTAACGGGATCGTCAGGGAGAGCGATTAAAAATAGAATTAGGCGGACCCCATCCCCACTGAATTGAACCCTTTGGTGGATTTGGCGGACCTACCGACCTCTAGTGGCTCGTGCCTGCCACTGGCGACTGAGGCTGTGCTAGATCGCGAGCTTCCCAGGGGGAGCGCGCGCCTGTGAGGCCTCGGAAGAAACAGAACTCCCTTTAGAAGAAACGTGACTGATGGCAACAATATCGCATGAATCCGATCGTATTGCTATGACTCGGACTTAGTTGGCTCACATCTAAGTTCAGGCGAAGCTGAAAGGAATATGCCCGACGCTATGCCAAAGAACCAAATCATCCTTCCAAACCAAGGGCCTAGGATCCTGGTGCTCCAGAATGGAAACAAAGGAAGGGGCTGGAATTTCTTGCATACTAATCACTTAGACGTGTCGCTGGCTCGCTGCAGAAGACAAAGATATGACTCACCTGGAAGACAAAGAAAAGGACGGAGGCGCCCGTGGCGTATCCCCGAACCCTTGTCATCCGTGCCGTACAAGTCCCGGTGCCGGTGCCGAAGCTCATACCCGGCTGAACTACCGGTGATCATCTACCACAGTTTGAGAAATCAGCCGGCTGGCGAGTCCAGTGTCACTCGAGTTTGTCATGGTGCTTTAGAAGCGCACATCGTGGAGGCTTGTAAGATAAGAGAAGCTTGGCAACAGTAGGACAACCCCTTCTTTCTGGACCAGACCCATGATTCTACACCAAGACAACCCCGACATGACTTCAAACTCTATCAACAAATATGCATTTCGATCCGAATCCAAATTCAAATCCATGTTCAAGGTTGCTAGGTTGAAGCCGGACGACGCGAGCGCGACCGACGTCGGCGGTGATGAGACCTAGTTGAGGACGAAAAGCCTTCCCTTTAGCCTGATAGGCTCTCGCCATCACACTTCAGGTCAACTGTGTCAACTTACTTGTTCTTGTCCTTTGCACCCTGGCTCCTTAAGAGGTGTCGCTATTGGTCATGGCGAGGTTCCAACCTTGCCTCTGCCCTCGCCCTTGGGTACCAGTTCCGCGTCGCGGGTGATGCTCTGCTGCAGGCCGTGCCGTTTGTTTCCATATACATATATTGCTCTTATTCCGGGTTGCTTAAGCCTGAACCTGCTTTGCTATATGACTGTGCACCACTTTAGGGACTCGAGTAACGTATCTTGGACACAGGAGTAACGTGATGATGGTTTGAACCATGTCAGCTACAAGATTCTGTATCTACGTAGTAAGAAGCCAAATCACTTGAGGAATCACGAAAGTCCATGAGGGCTTCTACTCTACACGATAATGAGGCATATAAACAAGTTTCAGTCATGTGTCTTCAAATAGAGCACTCGGCAATGAAACAAGTTCACGCAATGAGCGTCCAGCTCGTCTGATGTCATCTCCTCAATGCCATGAACCTCAAGGAGCTGCTAGGGCCAGCTTTTTCGGACAATTATCACGGACGGATCGCGCCATTCGACTGGCCAGGGGGCATGTTGCTACAGCTATGCCGCATCTGGACAATCTCGGCAGAGGCACCAAAGGAGCCTGTGCGCGTGTCGGTCACAGGGTGAGGAGGCACTGGGGGTAGAGGGCAATTAATAAATACCGTGCCTCGCGTGCTGTACCGATGCCGCTCTGCTGCAAGCGGGGGACGGCTTGGATTCGCCCATGAGCAAATTAACCTGGCCCAGGGCCGCCAAGCTGCAATAAGAGCGTCAATGCAATCAGGATGCTCATATGATTATGTGCGGCGATATTGCTCTTGCGCCTGGATTGATGAGGTTGCACCCGTCGACCGCTTCAATGCTGCTGCTGCTGCTGCTTTTGCAGTGGTACTTTCCGCGCGTCTAGGAGAGTTGTGTGTTCGTACTGTAGGATATGGATAACGTGAGACCAGCACTCAGTCACCCAGACGAAGTTTGTGGTCGACTGCCAATGCTAGGATTGGAGGAAGTGTAAACCCCCGGCCTGTGGGTTTCGGTGTCTACGCAGTACGCAGTATGGAGCTTCAACATCCTGCAAGATCCGGCCCAGGACGCGCATGCCTAGTACTGCGAAGTAGGTAGAGACTAGGCGACCAATGTGATATCGAGGAAGCTGCAGACTCTTCAGTCTTTAAAGGCGATATGGTCTTACTGCGGTAGATGATCGTCAGCTCCCGCATCGTGCAGCCAGCCAAGCGTGCTGCATTCAATAAAGAAGTAATAATTATCCTCACTCGTGCACTGACTGCAGAGTACTCTACCACTACTATGTATGCAGCATACCTGCATAGTAGGCGCAGGTGTGCTGACCAGCACCTGTCCAAGCCTGTCCAAGGCGGACAGACGGTGCCAGTGAAGGGCCAAAGAGGGGAAGGAATGGCTTGGGAGGGGGTGGTAAAATTACCAGGGGCCAGCCAGTAGTGCCTGGGGCGGCGGGCGAATAGCAGCGGGTTGGCGCCCACCTGCATCCCTCGCTGTTTCGCTAAGAAGGCCCTAGTTCGCGGTGGTAAGACTGGCGAGACCGCCCAGGATTTGTTTGCCCATTTGCCCATTCTTCACGCTTCAGGGCGCTCCGCTGCGCCTCTGCCACTATCTCTGCGTGCCCACCCGGACCCTGTCAGGGACGTCGCTGCAGGTATTCGCTCACCCATCGCACATACAAAGAGTACTTCGGGACCAGAGGGTCTCCCTGCAGTGGTTCCTCCTTCCGTTAATGTCAAATGCCCGTTCCTGTCGTTTCTTCCTGTTCCTGTCCCACTGTGCCCCTCGTGTGTGGTGGTGGTGTGTGTAAGACTGTGTGTGTGTGTGTGCTCCGTGCCCACCCAGCAAGTCCCTACTGTCCCCAAGGTAGCATAGTGGAGGTGGTAGTGTAGCAGCGTGCCAGAGAGCCAGACCACGCCAGACCACTCAGGTTGCAGGGACAGACAGGCTGCACTGCAATCAATCTACATAGCGGTAGTATTGCCCGGCGCTCATCTCTCCCTCTTTCGCCCCCTTGACGGACCTGGATGCTCTCTTCATCCTGTCCTCATCTCCATCATCTCACTCGACTCGACGACGACCTGCCAAACAATCCCTCATCGTCGGCTTCCACGAGACAATAGCGATCTGTCTTCTGTCTTCTGTCTGTCTGAATGTGCATGCAGCAGAGCAGCATCTTGCTATATCAGTAGTTGATGGATTTCTGAGAACAAAAGATCAAAGCCCCGTTCTCATCCCTTCTTCACTTCACCTTGAGCTAGTCTCGCCAGTCACTCGTTCACCCTTCCGACCACATCAATAAGCCCGCCCTCGCCGGCCTCTGCCATCCCTTCGATTCCCCTGTCTCGCGACCGTCTATTCCATTTCCTGCAGCCTTACGAGCATCCGTTCTCTTTTGAAGCACGTCTAGAATTCGATATCTCTCCATCGCCAATACGAATTATCGACAACGATTGATTACATGCGCTGCCAAGCCTGACAGGACCCAGCGTCTGATCACCAAAACGGATCTGCAGCCGATTGTTATCCCCCATCTAGCGACTCCCTCGTATCTCGCCGATCTCGAGGACTCTCAATTCAATATCCCTTTGCGGAGATCACCTCATCGTCAACTCCTTCTTTCTTGCTTTCCTACTACCCGCCATGCCTGGTGTCGTGGATCCTACGGGAGGTGAGTCTGCCTGCGTCCCACTGGGCCCTTCTCGCCCATCCACCCACCCCTTTGAACACGAGTCGCTAACCACATCGTCAGTCATCCATGACTCTCTGCTTCCTCGACAGAACGGGTGTGTAGTCTGTCAATCAGGCACGCCCGTCTGCCCGACATGTGCATCGAATGAGGAATGCCAATTCACCGTTCCTCTTGATTGTACGCAATGCCCGAGGGCATACTGCGCCGTTTCTAGCCCGACGCCAACCCCGACTGCGTCGAAAAGTAGTGGCCCCAGCACAGGAGCCATTGCAGGAGCTGTTGTGGGAGGTGTCGCCTTGATTGCTGGTGTCGGCATCATCACCTATCTAGTGTGGAGGTTTTGCATCAAGAACAAGCGACAACAGTTGGAGCAGGAGCCATGGGATGAGGACCAGGAGACTCCTAGTACGGAGGCTGAGAAGGTGTTTGCACAGAGGAGAAGCCAGCGAGCGTCGACCCATACTGTCCACTCGATCGCGTCGACTGTGCTCACCCGAGCTTCGAATATCATCCAGATCGCCTACATTCCCGGTGTCACCAACCGAGCTACTCCTACGTCGCCCACGCTTCTTGTACCTCCCGTTCCTCCAATCCCAATCGCCATATCCCAAGCGAACAGCCCAGCTGCGACCGAAGATCAGCACTTTTTCGTGCCTGGCGATTTGCGCGATTCCACGTACTCCGGCATTTCTGGATACAACGACCGCACATCGTATGCTAGGACTTCATATGCGCCGCGGTCCAGCATAGCGTCTACCATCTACGGCAAGAACGCAGTCATCCTAACACCTGCTCAGACCGGCATGCGTGCCAAGGCTGCTATGGTCAGTGTACGTTCAACTGGCAGTGGTAACTCGGCGACCGGTGGCCTTACTCCGCCCGTCCCGGCTGTCGACTATGACAAGTACAACAACATGGCACCACCTAGTCCTGCCGCCAGCACATTCAGTGTAGGGTCTACGTTCCTCAACAATGCTACCGTTCACACAGCTACAGCCACACGCGCACAAGTTGTTCGTGTGGGAAGCGGTCCCAAGAAGGGCTCGCCTGATAGTCCTGCCAGTGTGCCAGAGGAAGACGTTCTACCACAAATGTCTTCACCAACCGTCCGTGACTCTAACGCCGTCACACTGATCGACGACTCTCCCGTGCCCGACCAAGGACCTTTCTCCGATCCTCCCGAGAACAGGAAGAGCACGACTAGCCTGAGCGCCGTCATTGAGGAGGCAACAAGACGTGCCTCCCAGAGGACGAGTGCTCTGAACAAGACCGAAAGGGAACGGAGTCCCTTCGGAGACGAGCATGCGACTCACGACGATTAATCTAGCCCGGCGATCAATTCGCAGGCATCACAATCTTTTATGCTATCTAGCGTCCCTAAGATATCTACTTCACTTCTTCGTACCTATTTTGAGCCGCAAGTGACGGCTTGGATGTCAGACTTTTGGACCCATTTGTTTTGGTCCTTTTTGAGAAAATCTTTATTTTGGCGGATTTGGCTTGCTCGATGACAACCCCAATGGCTTTTTGGACGGCGTTGATAGGCCCCTTTTCCTGGGTTAACGGAACGAGCAATGTGAAGGGCTGCCACTTGGCACCTGATTATCACTGATGAGACTCTATGGAATAGATATGATTTCTTTCTACATCGTCTCCCGTGTATGTGCTTGCGAATTTGGTGAATGTTTGTTGCTGCGTGATATCCTCCATCTAAATTGCTTGACACACCCAATTAATGTTCTTCGGCCATCAAATATCGATCTGACTGGCAATGTGAGTCTCAATTTGTAGAAATACACAGTTTGTTCGTGTTTGGTCAACGTCCTCAGTCACAACCGTCAATGTATTGGGTAGTGTACTATCTGAGTCTTATCAATCAGGAATAGTATGTCCGGGACATCAAGTGATGCCTTTGCTTGCCAGGCCAAATTAGATCAGCTTGCCATCTCCTTGTGGCCCAAAAACACGGCCTGCTTAGCACAAAACTTAGTCCAACACAATACCTTTGCCATGATTGCCCATCACACTCACAAATACCAAATAAGTCCAGACGTTCTGCGTAGTCATCATCTCCAAGGTGAATTTCTCCTTCCTGTGATAAAGTGTAGCCTTGTTAAGAAAGCCCTTGGTTGTTCTCGTGTATGTATGTATCACTGGACACGGAGATGGGTGTTCACTGCTAAGACTCCTCACCACTCCAATATATATCTGGCCACATTTGTCAATATATATATACACGGTAGAGCAACAGGACAAATGGCACGGCATTTTGTTGTCCGGTCGAGTTCAATGCGAACAGAAATATAAAGACGGTGATCTCCTCCCGATTGGAAAGATTTGGTTACAAGCTGTACAGTGCCGTCGCCAACGCCCAGTCAAAGAAATTCCGGATCTAGAGGATCCAGAACCGCGACGTGTCTGACCCGGCGGCCAAGACGATCCAACAGAAGCGCGAGACTTCTGATCTCGACACCATCAACCTCACCGTCCTACAATACCTAAAGTATGCCAAGGCGGGAACCGCCGAGGATTCTCCCAAGCGATACAAACAGGACTACGCAGCCCAGGGATACTACCATGGATTCTCCGCCGACGACTGGTTCCGTGGGGTGTGGGCGTTCATCTTCTTCACCGGCCGTCGCGACAACAGCAAGTCCACCCAACCAACCAACCAACCAACCAACGAGTATCAACTCTGTAAGATCACTGAAAGAGCTACAGATGACTTAAGATTACACATGGAATAGTCCGGGACTGTTCTTCAGCTTAATCCTTCACCGTAAATTATTTATTCACCACAAGGAGAATTTTTTCAAAATTCACACCTTTATAGAGCTCGTTTGGAGATCATATTCACCAATCAAGAAGCGCCTGGCGAAGGCGAGGCAGTCGACTATCCTGCTTCATGCTACTTGCCATCTATGCCGTTTGCGCTCCAGACGTACAGCTACCTTGACTTCATCGGTTCCTTCCTATATATGAATATACATCAGATGAACAGAAAGGGGTGCTCAATGGCAACGGACTACACCTGCCCAAACTCTTTACTAGAGATATGCTGTCTTGAACACATCGAGTAAAATTTGGAACCACACAATCTTCAAAATAGTAACCTAAACCTATATGATTTGAAAACTTGGTTCGAGTTGAGAAGAAGCACCTCATGATGGGAATAGCCCGATCTCAAGAATGAAACGAAAAGGTTCTCATGAAATCAAACAAGAACTTCTAGATATTTTCTAGCTTTATAATCACCAGACTATGTGAGAGAAGAACCTGCCATTCAATGCCTACGCTTAGGAGGCCTGGGTGTCAAGGCTACAGCGATCCGACACCCAAGAGTGAAGACGTTGCGGCATATAACCGGGGTGCTTTCCGAGACGTACCAAATAAACCAACCGTCATGGACATCACGAGTACACCATCGACAAGCAACTTGATGATATTCCGGCTAGGGCGAACAGTAGAGATATGGACTTCGACCGTTCACCACGAACAAAAGTTCACTGCGTCATGAAGATCATGGCGGAGATCAACCGAAACTTCCGAAAAGAGCAAAATCAGCTGCCCCATCTTAGACGACCTGCACTGAGTGTCCCGGTTGCCGAGGACACCACGACCGCCAAGTCAGCGGTCAAATCCCAGTCATTGCCCACCAAACCTTGTATGAGCGCTGAGGTGAAGAAAGCTCTGGCGGACTCAGGAACAGCTATTTTCATGAGTCTACCTGCGCCGGATCTCAGAAAGCGCGCTTCGTTCGAGGATTTATTTGAGCATATCAGACACACTGCCCCAGAGAGAATCGCCAACATCCAGCAGTCGGGCCTGTCTTTCCTCGCGGTTCAGTATCGGAACACTAAAGCCCGGGACGCAGCGAAGAAGCTGCTGGACAAAGCTGTCTTTAGGGACAAGAACGGGGAGGTTGTCAAGTTGACAATCGCTAACTTTGGTGAAGTGGTTCAGGAGATCCCCATGGTGTAGTTCATCACTGGGTGCCTGGGCATTCAACCAGATGTCGGAATTCCTCGTGGATACGGTACCAGAGAGGTCGAGACTTGATAAAGCTTGTCTTGCCGCTCCCGGGGTTTATCTACCCATGACAGCAATCACTAGCCTCTGATCTCCCAGGGTGTAGACTATGAATGGCCATCATGTCGACCCTGAGTCCGTCACTACCTTTTCTTACCAAAATCTGCGAGAGGCAGTATGCGACTCCGCCATGACCAAAGATCCGTCTTGAGTCGATGGCTTGGATACGATGATCAAGACGAGCGATCGTTCTGATATATTACAGTATGACAGGGAGTAATGATTTTGCGCTATATTATTATTGGGGACTGAAGAAGAGCAGTTGATTGAAGGATATACTGGAGAATCATAGCCAGGGGGATCGCAGACAAAACAGCACAATCAAGAACATAAGAAATGTTGGATGTTTTTAGACTCTCAAAAGTTCTGGGCTATCAAGGGGGTCACTCACCAGATAACTCGGCTGTATTCTGGATAGGATTAGGACCTTCCGGGCTTCAAGTTGCGAGTGTATAGAGAGAGAGAAAGGATGAAACAAATAACAAGCATATCAGATGTAATCTGCTTAAGAATCTTTTGAAATATAGGTCACCAAACTCCTGGACGACAAAAGACTTGAGTGTAAAGATGAAGAAATAAGGAATAGAAAAATAAAGGATAGAGGAAAGAAAAGTTTCAGGAAGGCTTCCTGGATACGGCCTCCAGAAGGAAGGAGATTAATACAAACTGCAAATAACGAAGGAGGCAAATTTTCCTTTTAAGGAATGATAACTGATGGAGAGTAAAAGAAAAGAAAAGGAGAAACCCGAATTGCAAATATATCAAGCTGACCTTCTTGGCCACTTCTTATCGCTTGATAGTTTATGAGTTGTAATGCTGATGAAATCTCGAATAGAGTAGAAATGTTATCACCAATTAATGATGCTGCAAAAATTATTGTTTGCAGTCGACAGCTTGCATGCTGTTGGGGAGCTTTTCTGGTTGTGGAAAGAGAAAGAGTGTGGAGATGGAGTTCAGATGAAGTTTATATCCGAGTGCTGCAGTCAAGTCAACACCAAACAATCGATGGCACCAAGGATGACGGAGCGACAGATGTGTCTTGACTAGGTAGTCACGAGTCTCACGAGAGCCTGCTATTTGCAAAATGCGAAACACTACATCACGTCTACGAATTGGTGTCGAGTAAGTGCTAAATTATTGTCCCTGAAGAGTCCTGCTAGAAGTGTAGGAAAGGATCAGCAACACGCTCAACCGCTTGGTCTCCTTGTCGAGGATCAATCAAGAATCATCTAAGTGCTAAAGATTCAACCACTGGAGCGGCATCAGCAGAGGGCACGATAGTGTTGCCAATATGACATCCTCGCCTGAACCCAAAAAAACGACGGCGAGTCGATGACATTGACGACACAGCGAATTCCCTCGAGCACCATGGACAAGTGCTAAGCCAAGTGCTAAATCCCGAGTCCCAGTCACCAATACTTGAGACCTCATTTGGTGATTTTGATGTCGTCGAATCCTATGGGGATGTGCGAAACACAAATCCGTCAAGTGTTCAGCCTTTTCTACTCGAGTAATATGCTGGAGCCTCTCGACGATCCCCCTCTACCAGAGGTCAACTCTCTACAAACTGCTAAAGTTCTACAAAAAATATAAACAGCATATCGTATGATAGAGTGTCGTCAGGGTTGATCCTAGAATATGGCGAAGCATATCCCAATGACATCGATAGCTGTGTACTCAAGGCCGTCGGTGATGAAGCTGAGCCAGCCGAAGATATCTAAACACCCACGAGCAAAGGATGACAATGTAGCCGGAGAGCACCCATATACTTCGACAACGAGAACCAAGACTGAGAGCCTTCCATAACTTATTGAATGCATCTAGAATATCGCACGGCTAGTCACTGATAATCTGCCGCTTCTGTTCTACAAGCATGCCAGGAGTGTACCCTGGGCCGTCCTTACTAGCGAGTCTGCCTTACTCGGGACGTACCAGACCCCAAAGACTACATGTCATACTGGCCACAGCATTTTACCTGAGAGACGCCTTCATATAGCTAAATATAAAACCGTAGTGGGAGGCTCCCTATCCATCCATGTGGTGGCAGCAGCTCTCCGCCGCGTATCGACAGTCGACAGAGCCGTCCTAGGTGGTCCATGCATTGCTGCCCCCGTATTGCGCATGCAGCCAGACTTCCGGCGTAGCACCGTCAAACATGTAGGAATGGCACTGTATAGTGCGGCTAGACAGTCCGCGAATTACCAAATGCTCAGCTCATGAGACAGCATGGCCCTGGCTAGACTTCCCTCGTAGTCTTTAGAGCAACATACAGCTATAGCCGAGAGATCACAAGACATCACAAAGGCGTGCCACGACACCTCGCCTTTTCCTCCGCGGAAGTCGGCATTCAGACACAACCCTAGTGTAGATCATAGACAAGTCCCGCAGTCACCCAATCGACATGACGAGGCACACATACACACACAGCTTAGCCTCACGGACCGCTACAGCATCCGAGGTCCTTGTGGTCTCCGTGTGACGAAGCAACGAGGGCACGCGCATCGGTCTTCACGCCATCGTAGGGCGCCCAGCCAGATCAGATGGGCCACGCTAGACCAGCCACTAGCTAGGACCCCCAATAGCCGATGCTGGACGGGAGACGGAACGGCTCGAGGAGGATTAGAATCCGTCGAAAGAAAGTACGATGCAGATGAGGGTGGCCAGGGAGAAGGAAGGTTGGCATCCGGCCACCGCCCGATGCCGCGGCTACGCGCGAGGCGAAGCTAGGGGATCGACGGTGCGTGGGCGTGATCGATGCGGGATGATGTGAAAGGGAGCGATACGATGGCAGCAAGGCACCAACTGGCCAAGATGGTCTGACGAGCGTCGTTGGCTCGAGGATGATATGCTCCATAATGTCCGCACCGCATGCAGCAGCGTGACGAGCATGCAGTGCAGCTGTGCTATTGAACAGCTTCCTACTACAGAAGCTGCTTGTCCCATCGGATGGCCCTGTAGCACACTTGTCTACCGAATAATAAATCGATATATGACGAGCTACCCTGCGGAAGCCGAGGAGCCCTGCGGGTGGCGTACGGGTCGTAAACGCTGCAAGCACTGCAGCAGTAGTGGCGCCTCAGCGCTTGTCGTGCTTCCGCGACGTGACGGTGGTTACAGCTCGCTCGTCTAAGCAAAAGCCACCATGCATGAGTATTGGTGGCACGGGGTGAACTTTGTGCTGCGTTGAACGAGACTTCGGGTGAGGTTGCCATATCGTCGCCTCCTCTGGGGAGCTTTCCCTATGGTTATGTGTCTATGGCACTTGCTTAGACACTATAGCTTAGCAAGTGAGACAACTCCAGCTGCTCTGAACAGGTCTGGATGTCTTCCAAGCATAGTTTGACTTAGCTGCAAAACCACAACGTGGGGGAACATCACAGAGTGGGAAGCATCCCCTGGTCACACTGATCACCTGCGGGCACTGGCCTGTACAAAGTTAATCCAGAACAAGGAACATGGCCTCTTAGGTTTCATAGTATCAGCCATCCTCGCTCGACAGATGTTTCATCCATGAATACTATCTTCAAGAAAAACCACAAGCTAAGGGCACGTGGGGGTGCTACTATGCACGTGGGTAGTATCCTCCAGGAAACAACACCACGCCGAGCAATGCGCATGTATCGCCAACAGCCAGGGAAATTGTGTCAACTCGACCGCCTTCCTGGCTAGCTCAACGACCAGCCACGATCGTCGGTGAGCAACGGCCGCAAGTGCTGAGACGATCTCCAGGCTAGAACTAGGGAACACCCCACGGGAATGACGAGCTGGAAACTCTGGTAATGTGGGGGTTAGCTGTGCTTGTTGTTCATTGCAGAAAGCCACGAGCCTCGCCTCGCCGTTGAGGTAAGATCGCACCACCGCGAGCATCTGCCCATGGGGACTCTGCGGGATGATATGCTTCAATGTGTAAGCCACGGAGCGCGGACAGGGTATGATAGTTGCTTTTGCTAGACACGAGGTTGATCGATTGGAGTTCTTGCCCTTGACCTTTGACATGTTATAACTTGGCGATTGTAATATTGACGTTTAGAACGCTGGCACTGAGGCATGTGCCAGGAGACAAGAATGATCGAGGATAGTCTCACAACTTTTGCTCCTCACCTATGATCGGCTCGGTCATCCCAGAAAACGGCTCCTGACTTTGATGAGCGCCAAGCTTCTGATACAGTAGCGAAGTGGCACCCTGACCACGAGCTACCCAAGGTGTCAGTCCCGATCCCAAGTCCCTGGTTTGTTGGCATGGGCGAAAGAATGGTTGAATCCTAGAGTTTCTAAAGGACTCTATCCCTACTTTGGGTAAAGGAGTGCTGTGTGGATAATTGCACCTTCCGCAAATGCCCCCAGCTGCCGCACTGAACCTGGGATGTGCATTGAAAGGCCCACGGAGGTAACTTCTTGGGCTCTGAGGCGCGGCCGAGACGGGGGGCGGCTTGTTGCTATCAATTACCGATTAGGGGCGGGGGAGATACCGATAACGAGGGTCCCCTAAGCAAGCAGCAACGGCGGCGCCAACCAGCCTCAAATCTCTTCGACAAGTGTGTACGGTATGGTGTAGTCGAAGTCAAGTCAAGTCAAGTCCTGCAGATGCAGTTGCAGGATCTTCGCACTTCGTCGCAATCTTGCTCGCTCTTTCCCCAGACCGGTCTATGCAAGTGACTGGTGAGTGCGCAAATGGTATTGCCTGCCGATCTGCAGCAGCAGCAAGAAAGCCTCAAGGCATCACAGGTCTCTCGGATGGAACCGCCGTCGGGACTGCCTCCGGTGGAAATCATCGCAAACAGCAGCCTCTGGAACTTCTTGTGAGCCTGGCCTGGCGTGTCACGGCTCGTTGATTAGTTCTCCGACCCAGCCATTACTATGCAGTAGAATGAGAACCGGTAGCGGATTGGGATCCAGGACCAATGGCACGGACAGTAACAGGCCCCGCGGCTGCTCTCCCGCCTTCCGCTGAAGAGGGGCATTTTGTGGACAGTGCCTTCGCCGATAATTACAATACAGGCATGAAGAGCGAAAGCCTTCATGTCTTCTCCGAAACCCTGTCCGACTCGTGCGTGGAGCGAAGATCACCATCTTGCGGCCGAGCGGACACACGTGAAATGTCAGAGCTGCAGGAGCTATACAGCCTCAAGAGCCAAAAGACGGGATGGATCTCAGGGCCACCTCAAGGGCCATATGGGAGGGCGAATTCGACGTTTCGTAGACTTGTGCCGCGAGTTCCAAATGCGCTTATTCATGATGACCTCTCAAACCTCGAGTATGACTGTCGTTCATGCTGGACTCTGAGGGAAGGATGCCACACCCAACCCCTGAAAGTTCCCTTCCCGTGGCTGTGGTACCGGTGAAGCAAATGACATCAGTAAGACCTGAAAATCATCATTTTTGAGGATGGCATCAGGTATGGGCACTAGGCCAGATAGGCCCCCTTGTCAGGATGCATCTGGGCTCTTCCGAGCGCCGGAGTTTATACTGTAAAAGAACCGTTGGTGCTGCGGTTCTTTCGCGTTCGCTTATGGGTCCCGGCTTTGGCCTGTCTGGTGTTTTCTTTCTGGCGCCACAATGCCCGAAAATTGTACAGTGGCTTGGATCATCACTGATATATACTACTTTCAGAAACGACAGGGCTGCCTGGTGCGGTAAAAGTGTACCGAGACAAGACTTTCTCCAAAGAAAAAAAAAAAGCGGCAGGCAAAACGGAAGACCATCGTCGCGACATCTGAGGATGGTTGTGGTGGCCCGGCTGTTTTCTGCCCCGCCATAATGAAACTGCCCCCCCAGGTGGGGAGAAAGACAGAAAGTCGTCTGTCGACTTCACAAGTCCATCCGACATCGTTCGGGATCCCTAGGCATACATTCTCTCTCTCTTCGTGGGGGGCAGGGTCCAAAAGTTGTCAGGCTATTGTAGGCGCGAGGGAAGCGAAGCTGTTCATCTAGCTCTGCGGTAACGGCGATAGCTCATAATGCTAAATGTGTTAGGAAGGGCTAATCGTGGATACTTCCACAACTTACTTTTCTTAATTCGGTACATTTGTGGGCAACAGCAGGTGGCCCGAGTGGCCTAGATGTCGCAAGCGCGGCAATAGTGAGGGAGTTGGCTGATGACCCCGCGAGATACTCAGATGAAAGGGTCGATCATCAAACGGCATGATAAGATAGGAATTGATTGACGACTGTCTATTTGAATATCCTCTTGAGAAATTTCATTTCGCAGTAGTGTGAACGATGCGGAAGGGTGAATGCGAAAGGCACTTCGAAGGAGCTTTCGTTGAAACGAAACTCGACCCCATTCCTCCATCACAAGGCTCCCCCAAGCTGCCCTCAAGGTTCCTCGTCTCCACAGCTTAGCTAGAGCTATCATCCTGTAGACCAACCTGTCACGCAATCCAAAACAAGTGGACGTGCTGACGAGCTGGCAAAGATAACCTCCTTTTTTGATATGGACAAGCAGCTGGATCTGCAAGCCGCTGACTCCAAACACCGACAAGTACCCTCGAGATATCGAGTTAGAAAGTCGTCTTCTCCATGGTAGTAAAATCCGAACCCCTACGCCCCGGTTATGCCTATTTTGGATCGTACGCCATTCGCCAGATCAAGGACTGGTAATGGATGGATGGTTGAAAGTAGAAAATGCGGGTGTGAGCAAAAACGAGGAAGGCACATTTCATGCTGACAAATGGCTGAGCCAAGAATCGATCACCAATCGCCCCAAGAGCTTCGGGAAAAGATGTCGGTAGAGTCACCGTAGACAAAGTGTCATGTATCAGCGCAGCGTGGCCTCGTAATATACCCGCGCGCAGTTCTCTGGCCGTTTGCGACCTAGAGCCTCTTGAGGGCGACCTCATAATATGACGCACTTCCGGTCCCTTCTGCGGTAGCGCTCCGCGTCCCTCGGCGGTCGGCCAATATCGCCATTACCTTGTGGTCGACGGCCGCCTCCAGCTGCAGCAGGGACGGGCCTGGCGGCAATTTGTCGCTGGCGGCGCAGTATTCTGACGACGTCGTAGAACGCCTTCTCGACGTTTATACAATTCTTGGCAGAGGCCTCGACGAATTCGCAGCCTAATTCTCGGGCAAGGGCGTGCCCCTCTTGTGTGGAAACCTCGCGCTCTGTGACTCGGTCGCTCTTGTTGCCCACCAGCATGATGGGCACAGGCGCCTGCGGCAGTCCTGCCGATATGGGCGATCCGGGATAAGAGGGCGAGTTTGCGCAAGACTCCTTGACTCGTTGGATCTGATGGTGAAATCTCTTAATGCGCGAGAAGGATGAGCGGGATGAGATGCTGTAGACCAAGACAAACCCCTCGCCGTCTCGGATCCATTGGTCTCGCAGGGCTGTGTATTCCTCCTGTCCGGCGGTATCGAGAACCTCAAGCATGCAGGCTTGGTTGTCGATCACGACTTGCTTCCGATATGAATCCTCAATGGTAGGGTCGTACTAAACATGAGATGTCAGAGCTGTAACGAGGAGGGGCAACACAAACACAGGAAAGGACATGAAGCACGCGAACACATGGCGAAAGCTTAAGCATTTCCGCCATATTCGGAGGGTTTGGGGGGTGGAATGAGGCGACGGGAGGAGCAGTAGTAGCGACAGAACAGAACAATGACGGTAGGGGCAGAAGGGGACATACCGTTTCCACGAAATGCTGCAAGCATAGCTGGATTGTCAAGGCTGTCTTCCCTACACCTCCATCGCCGAGCACCACCAGCTTGTACAAGACCATTTTGCCCGCCATTGTGGATGATGGTGGTGTTGGTGTTAGTGTTGATGGTGGTGGTGGTGGACAAGGCCAGACACGGCCCTAGCTTTGCTCTGATCGGCTAACTGATAACGTGCTGATGGGAGCCGAGGGGGCGTGCAGATAGGGATTGATTGCGGGATAGGCGAAGTGAGGGCGCTCCGATCGTGTGAGCTGGGTATCGACAGAGATGGCGCTGGATGAAGCTGGCCTTGGGGAGGAGGGAATTTGGAAGTCGGCGATCGTGAATTTGTGGTGGAGGAAAAGTCACAGCAGCAGCAGTAGGCGGTAGGTGTTTGTAGTTAGGTTAGGTAGGGGAGGTAGGGTTGGTAGGTAGGTTGAGCAAGTGAGTGAGTGAGTGAGGATGGAGGAGGAGGAGGAGGAGTAAAGTGGGCGGGCGGGCCTAAGCTTTCTCTGCTTGCTTGCTGCTGCTTGCTGCTTGCTGCTTGCTACATACCATACCCACTTGCTCGGAGGAGGTACTTGCTTGCTTGGTTTGCTTGCTTGCTTGGGAGAGAGAGATACCGGAATAAAGAAAAGAGGCTAGGGCGATGTATTGAAGCGGAGAGACAAGCCCACACCTCGTTAGTGCAGTCTGGTAGCAGCACCAGCAGTGGGAAGTGGCCCAGCGCCACTACCTACGCAGTAGGTACCCAGCTACCTAGCTAACTAACCTACACCACCCCTACACACCTCCACTTGCCTACGGCTACCGTACGAGTAAGTACCTACCTAGGCAGGCGTACCGTATGTACCGTGCTGTGTGTCCGTGCCTGAGGAGTTGCTCTCTAGACCAAGCAAGATAGGTTCACCTATCTCGTGATGTCAAGGTCCAGTTCCGACTTCAGGGAATAGTTCAGAAGGAGAGAAGATGCCCTCAATCCGTGGGTTCACTCGTCAGTCAGTATCTAATGGCAGCGTCATATAGCAGTAGAAGGATCGCATTGGCTGCTCAACAATCCGGGACGGATAGACAAGACTCTACCCATGCGAGACTGGCTCAGTTCACCCTACTCTAGACTACATACTTTACCTCAACGTTATTGCATGCACGTATGGCATGGTATGTTATGGTAATGTGAAGCAAGGTCAGGTACAATGGCAAGCACAATACTCTAGAAGCAAACCAAACGCCCCAAGCAAGCAGCACTAGGCAAGGAACCGTTGGTATGCCCAGCTTTGGCCAACCAACCGTTCAACGGGCCTGCTCCCCCTGGGCCGGGGTTTGGTTGTTTCCCTGCTCTATCCTGTGCTGTCCTGTGTCCGTTCGTTTGGTCGTTCAGCGAGCGTTGATGGTGGTATCGAAACCAGATCAATGCGTAGGTAGTTGAATCTCACATCAAAGCACTCGGGCTGTTCCAGTCCCTCGGCAAGTCGAGACAGGTAACACTATCAAGAACAGGAGCAGCACCAACACTGTTGGACTGGCGACGAAGGTGACGACTGCGACTTTTTGAAGAAAGAAAAAAAAGTTTCTACCGGGTCCCCTTCTCGCAGCAACCCTGGTCGAAGCCCACACAGCTTAGGGTAAGGTACAGTAGCGAGCAACCTAGCAGAAAGCAGACAATGCAAGGGCAGGTGAGGCGTCGGGTGCGTGGTAGCAACTCTCAGTACCATACTTTCGAGGCTTGCGGCAGAAGCCAACTCTCAAATCTGAATATATCCGGCGCGAAGAGGCAAGCAAACGGGAATGGGGATTGTCGAAGGATGACGGACCACAGCCACGCAGAAGCAGAGGCAAGATATCGCGGCTATCTCTGGCATGTACTGTACAGATCAGTATAGCCCCGGATGTGTTGTTGAACCTCATGGAATGCTTGGCTGGCACTTGGTGATAGGATGGCTGAAGAGCAAGGCAAAAAGGAGTCGGATAGACGGTAACTTGACGTAGGCAAGCCGGCTCGATGTTGATCTCGAGTCTTCTCGGTCTAACGTTAGGTGCCAACCTTTTTTCCCGGGACGGCAACCAAAACCGTTTGGGAGAAGGATGATGAAAATGTCATGTATGTAAGGTAGGGTCCGTACTGGGGAAGCAGTCGAGTACTGTACTGTACTGTACGTAGCTGCTTCGGTATGTCTGGCAGTGTGGCCCGAGCCGGCAACAACCTTGTAAAAGTCTCAATGGCTCAATGGCAACAAAGGCAAGGGAGCACACGTCAAATCCTGCTCGACACTGCAATGTTGCGCTTGATCCTCTTTTGGCGGGACCATGGTGGAGTTCAGAAGAGAAGGGGGGAGAGGAACCACAAGCAAGCACACCTCTTTCACAGCGCCAGTGCACCGAGTGCACGTACACACACCACACAGCTGCACATACAATTTCAACAACCCCGTTGGACACCGTACATACGAATCCACTGTATCCATTGCATTGTACTCACACCATCCTTGTGGGTGCTTTGTCCATCCAACCTCTGAACGTACGTACATGGTGATGCACTGTTGCTGTGATATCGACATCCTCGCGCCTCATCTCTCACGAACCATGGAGTGTACCGTGCCATATCTGCCGCACCTGACTTACTGCGCTGTACACCCATTTCTCCGCAATGACTTGGCTATCCTGCATCTGGGTTTCGCCCTGCCCATTCCACATTGACTCGCTCTCACAAGACCTGCATGCAAGGAAGGTCTCGCGAGCTCTGAGAGCCCCCAGATTTCGAATCCGGCCCCAGCGCAACGATGCGTACCACAAGTGGAAAACCGGTCCAACCCGCCAACTTCCTCGGGCGACATTCGTGGAAGCGCGCAATCTTTTCATTAATGAGCACACCCTTTTCTCTCTTTTCTCTCCGCGAGTCTCTCGAGCCCAAATACACCCGAGCGTCCCTCCGTCTCGCTAAACCCTGAGTCTACACACGCCCGTGGGAAGGCGAAAAAAGCCCGCAATGACGACGATGGGACATTCGGTGCTCCGGTCTGACATCTGACTCGACACCCAATATAGAAGAAACAGAGTCAAGCCCATCGGGCAGAAACCTAGACCGGGACCCCTATGTACGATATCATTGGAGAACCCGGCCACCATCGTCTCTATTTCCCGGGGAAAGGCTCGGCCGCCCAACCGAGCTATTTCCAGAGGGACGAGGCCTGCCAAGAAAACATCGTTCAAAAGGAAGTCATGAAATACCTGACTTCCATTTGATTTTTGTGTGCTAGTAGTCGTGCTCAGAGTGAGACTGAAGCATAGTGATTCGCATCCGCATCGACGACATGCTGGGGCTTTCTCCTTCAAACCAACGGTAGGTAGTATTCCAACCTTGTCCTGGTCATAGCATGACTAGCCATCGGGGATAGGGGCCACTTAGCATTACCCGTTGCTTGCTTTTTATGTGACTATATCATGCTCGTCATTTGCCGTGCTATCTTTGAAGGCAAGACCGTTGTTAGTTTCCGTGCCGGAGTAGCTCGGCGAGCAGACCATCTTGCGATGACAAGAGTTGATCTATCGTCAATATAGACCATGGCCGTGTACTCTGCCAATGACAAAGAGGCTGACATGTCCAGGACCTATCTAATGGAACTTGCTGGAATAATGACTACATACTTCAATACATGATTGCTCTCCGAGCTAGTCTATCACATCTCTGTTTAGATTATCGGCATTGATTATTCTCACCAGTGGTCCCTGCAAACTCAACGGCAGGCCATAGCCTTTGGTAGACACTTCTCGCAATGAGAACCTTGTAACGGTCAGACTGGGCGCATCTGCTTAGCTCTCGTCTTGTAGTGGGGATCATGTCTTCCTTTTTTAATTCATTTTTCCCTGTGTTTCGAATTTGCCCGCTAGGAAGCCTCGTTTTGGAAACTTTTGATCCACGTATTGGTCAAAACTCACATTTCATTTGTGATCATGCTGCTGTATTCCGACAAACTTAACTGGGATCTAGGTTAAAAGTTTCGACCGCCCCCTACTGCGTGAGAATACCGGGGAAACGCCGGTACGACCTCCTCCTTGCAGATGGACCGCTATCGTGAGGCTGGCTTGCAGTAGCTTTCGGTATTTGGAGGACGAAAATTCTGCTCTGCCGGCAAATATTACCATCCACAAGTCACAAAGAATGGAACAACGGAGACAAGGGAGAATGACTGGCTAGGTAGCCAATCCTTATTGACCAAGTTGGGAAGAGAGTCAGCGGAGGTGCTGTGGACCACGTCAAAGCTGAAGAACGGGTGAAATAGGAGTAATAGGTCGATTAGCTGGGAGTCGAACCTCTACCCTGTGATCCTTAATCTATCTAGACCAAGATCATACATGTACATCCCAATAAAGATATGCTGGCCAGCATTCAGTCACTGTGTTACAGCTCACATACTGGACACTAGGGGATGGGGACGGGCCATTGCCTACAGTAGATCCAAAGCTCCTGGGCGAAAAATCAAGAGTGAGATCGGTACAATCATCCGTTGGGACATATATGGGAAAGCTGCCTCTACAGTGGTGATGTGAACGGGGCAAGTCACAGGGGATGAGACGCTCTTAAGGGAGACCAAGCTTCCGGGCGACTGTCACGAAGCCGTCTTCACCTTGACTAACCCATATGTCCACCCACTTCTTTGCTTCCTGGAAACGGGGATCATCCTCCTTCCAGTCCTCCTCTCCAGGCCTCTCAACATATATGGTCCGTAATCCATTTGATCTTGCAGCCTGCAAGTCATTCAGGTGGGCAGCAACCATGGTAACTTCCTCTGGCTTTACACCAAAAGACTTTGCAGCCCCAAGGTACACAGCAGGGTTTGGCTTGTACGCGGAGAAGTCTTCAGCAGATGTCAGCTTCTGGAATCCCAGGCTGCCAAAGTCATTGAGGTCTTTCAAGAGCGAGCGGTTGCCATTTGATAGAGTGGATGTGATGAACGACTTCCCAAGCTTGTGGATGCCTTCTGAAGAGTCCGACCATGGTGTGAGGCGATGCCAGACAAGACTTAATTCCTTGACCTCATCTTCACTATACAGACCCTGCAGCTGCCACTTGTCTAGCAATTCAACCAGGCTGTCATAGTGATGGGTATCAATGTCCTTCCATGGCGTCTCGCCCGGGACGAAGCCTTTGGTGAACTTTTTGTATGAGTCGCGCCACAGCTGTGCGAAAGATGCCCAGTCTTTATCTGTCAAGGCTTGAACGCGATCTTTCACTTCTGGAGATAGGGATTGAAACTCAGGAGAGCCAGTCTTCTTGTTGGCGGCCTTTTTCAGGGCGGTTTCGACAGAGGATCGCCAATCCACTACTGTGCCGAAAACGTCGAATGTCAAGGCCTTGACGCCGGCTGGAAGAGGTTGAGTAGCTGAAGACATTATTACTTAGCTCGATCAATCGTTGTCAATGACTGAAACATTCTGGTATGTCTCGCAGAACATCAAAACCATTATCAGCTCCATGGTAGATATCATTTAGCTCCAATGTTGACATATGGAAAGGCGCAATGTGGGCCAGATTGTCGCCATGCACTACCGAGGTTACTGAAGCTGCTTGGCTGCACCGGCTGGGTACCTGACAATGTGCAGACTCCCCCGGATTTGCGGCTTTCAACCTACGCTAGTGACAGCAGGACCTTGAAATTCCCGCCGCCTCAAGCTAGGTCAGGTATGAAGTCATCATACCACTCACCAAACAACAAGTCATTGAAACTCGGATTTTCCTTGGGTCCAGGGTCAGCAGCAAGCGTTGCTAGCGTCTCATCGTCATCGTCAATGGCCAGCTAGACTACCTTAGTTGCGCCTGTCTTTCATTCATTTACTCCTGCCAAGACCTTTTTTTTCCATGGCTCTGCCGATGATCCTTCCCTAGCATTCATACCAAGCTTTTTTTGACAGCCCTCTAGAGCTGTAGAGGCATTCGGTCGTTTTCATAGCCGTGGCTTTCTATATCGGGGAATAATCTTGCGATGGATCGTAAGAACGATCACTTCGAGGGCCGCCACTACAAGGCCGACAAGATCTCCGGACCTGTGGGCTTTCTCAATCCTACCACTCGGTACCTGCCTGTTCATCGGCCACACCATCGTGGACCGCTTAGCTCGCATGGCACCGAGGCAGAGAAAACCACAAGCTCGGGTCTACGAAAAGAGGCTTCTCACACCGGCATTTATCACGTCTGGCGGAGTCGCGACAACCGAAAGGGTCGACATGCCGTGGTCGTTCACAAAGACTATGTCGCCAAGTCGGGGACCATCGCGCCGCAGGCGACGAACTCGCTGCGAGAGAGCATCAAGGGGATCCTGAAGATGTTCAAGCGCTTCCCAATCTGGGATGTGTCGTATGATGTTGCCGTGGTTTTCACACTTGGCTCGGTGGTATGGGTGTTCAATGGTTTCTTTGTGTGGCTGCCGATCGAGCTACCTTCATCAGAGTTCAGCGGCGAGAGCACGATGGGTGGTGGCGTAACAGCCTTCTTAGGCGCTACGATTTTCGAGTTCGGGTCGGTGTTGCTGATGCTCGAGGCGGTCAACGAGAACCGCTCAGACTGCTTCGGATGGGCACTGGAAGAAGCCCTTGAGAGTGGCAGCTTGAAGCTTCACCCAGCACATGAGGGTTGCAGGCATCATCATAAGCAAAGACGGTCACTCTTTACTCCTTCTCGAGCCTTGAACAAAACTACGTCAGACGAGACACGCAATAGTGACAATGACACGAATACAGATCCGAGAGACTCGCGAAAGTGGCAGTGGTGGCCGACATGGTATGAGTTGAGAACGCATTACTTCAGAGACATTGGATTTCTGGCTTGCTTTTCCCAGATGATCGGAGCCACCATCTTCTGGATAGCTGGCTGCACTGGTCTACCTCCGATATTCGATGTGCTCTCTACCCCGGCCTCTAATGGCGTATACTGGCTACCACAGGCAAGTCTCTGGTTTGCCACCAAACCTATCCATTGTGACGAGCTCTTTCATCAAGCTATATAAGACTAACATGCCAATGTAGGTCATTGGAGGCTCTGGGTTCATCATCTCTAGCTGGCTGTTCATGCTGGAGACACAGGAAAAGTGGTACTTACCTGCGATGAACACGCTAGGTTGGCATATCGGATTCTGGAACTGGATCGGAGCCCTCGGCTTCACGCTCTGTGGAGCACTGGGATTTGGCATCAATGCACCTGGGGTCGAGTATGCCTCAACTCTTGCCACCTTTATTGGATCGTGGGCATTCTTAGTAAGTGCGATAGTCACGCCGAAGCCCCCTATTCTTCTTCTCCGAGTGCAGAGAAAATTCTACTGTTAGAACAACACAGCTAATGCCACGAGCAGATTGGCTCAGTAGTACAGTGGTATGAGTCGTTGGACAAATATCCGGTGACTCTGAAGAAAACCGAGACATTGGAAAAGGGAGACAGCAGTCCAGAGTCTTGACTTTGTCTATTTTGACTGTATGGAAGCAATCTTGACGGAGGTCCTTATCATAGCATCGTGGCGTTCTAGGATGGAGAAAAGCTATCGCACTAGATCGAGAAATCAGCTCTGTCAACTGAGCACCTAATTTCTGCCAATAAGTCTCGTTCTGTGCCATTATGGCAACTTCTCAGGGATATGTCGGAGTGACGAGGTGGTCCTCTCAGCTCTAGGAAACGGCCTTTGATACCCAGAAGTTCTAATTCTTGCGCGCATCGGACCTGATAAGATTTCAGGATTTGAAGTCGTTCGTCACAACCTCATATCTTACGATGAGGCTTGTGGGCGTGTTTCAATCGAACCGCCAGGCAGGTCGGTGTGCATGAACATGTAAGGACTAAATCGGGGAACACTTCTCGCCAATGTGGCTGGCGCCACGTCGTTTCGGCTTTTCGATAAATCTTCCACGGGCAAGATAAGCTGAACTATGTAGAGTTCGATTAAATGTATGCACGGTTACAAGTCGACCGCGGCACATGTCAAGACGGCCCGGGGTAGGCAAGAACAACGCCATGCGCGGTAGCAGTTTTCGCGACACACGCGCTGGCCCCTCCAATATATTGCCGGCAGAGTGTATAGATGAAGCATAGGAAGACTTGTGATGGGAATCCGGTAAAGAGGACTTGTAAAATGTATACAGTATTTATATAGCATGAAACTTTCGAATGGATTCTGGACGAAACCTGCTATCCAAGAAATTGAGGTCTTGAGATAGCTGTACCTACAAATCCGGGTTAGTAACCTGAATCCGGTTCGCGAACTGTATCTCTGTTTGCTCAGACTTGTGATGGTCCACAGTAGGTTTAGACACTTTTTGTCGAGACATCTATTATAGTAGCCTAGATGGATGCTCTTTTGACATCACTTAGGAGGCTGAGTTACAAAGCGAAGGCTTCAGCAAAATGCCATGTCATATCAACGGTCAATGTCCTGGCGTGATGAGACTTGGAGGAGGCAGCAGTCTACAATAATTGAATTATTGCCTTGAATGTTTTATATAATGATACTTTATTTTGGTGTCAATCGTGTGATAGCCTGAACTCATGAAGTATTGGCTCAAGCTCAATAATTGATGACAAGCAACGGCGTCGAATGTCACACTTGATTCTTCTTTTCCAGATGACACTGAAGAAGAGAACAGGGTCACCAAAACACTTGAGGACCTCGTCAACGGCTCAATAGAACCCTCTTATGCTGCGGAGATTATTGACAAGATAAATATATACTCATATCAAGCTTATTACGTCTCTTACATATCTCTGCCAAGCACTATCTCAGAGCAAATCCTGATGACACAATCCGCGCTCCTCAGCCAGCTGGATGGTAGGAATACCTCTGGCGTTGCATAGGCAAGGCAGCAATGAAGGTGCCCGCCGAGCACCTTGGCCAGGATCGTCTTGTGAGTCTGCTCCAGGAGCTTCAGCGCCTTCCTAGGAAGATCGTGCCCTGGCTTGTACATGGTAAGCTCATCAACAAAGAGTTCTGGAACTTGAAGACTGGAAGGACAACGCGGGAAGTTTCCTCACTGGCAATATCGTTGGCGAACCAAGTCTTCCAGGCGCACACGCCATCGTTTCCGCCTTCCTCAAACGTCTCTTGGGCCGTGGTGTAGCGCAGACAACGCGTATGAGTGCGCTGATCGGCACTATATTTGCCTTGCCGCTCGAAGCCCTTCGTTTCAGGCCCCGTACGCTGATCCGGCTGATGCAGCCCGACATTATGAGCCGTACGTGGGCGTAGCGGCGCAATGTATTCTCTACGCCGGCGAGGTCTTATAAAAATTGTGCACTAAGGGCGCACTCGCCAGCGTGGGAAGTTGGCGTTGGACTCAGCAGCGATGGAATGGATTGGAAAACAAGTCCGAGTGTATGGCAATAATGGATGAGAGCTTCGGTGAGCAAACACGCGACGTCGCTGTGAGGGCTGCTTCTTGGATGAACCAGTTGGAGAAGCAGGGCATTGGATCTGCCGCAGGTATTATCAAGAAGTTTGGATATCTCATTCCCGAAGAGGACGAGCGGTGAAGAGAATGGAGTCAGGAGTTGACTTGTTCTTAATGAAGTGTCATGCTAAAGAAGGCATCTTAATCGCTTGAGGACATCCAAACTTGACATCGACATAGGTGGTAGACTTCTACACGGGGGATGAATCAATCAACATGCAATACTATGATGTACTTCATAGCAACATTCTCTAATAATATCGGCATCACTGGAATAGTCCAGCAGATATCGGCACTTGTCAAGCAATCAAAACAGCTATAGTTCAGTCGCCAGGCTGATCAGCCACATTCGAGACGATGAAGAAGCGGCAGAAACGACAAGACACATGTTTGTGCCATGAGGAATGGATAGCAACTTGTGGCCCAAAAGCACTCTTGAACATCTTGTTGTGATGCAGGAGGCGTGCTTTCTGACTTGCCTGGAAAGTGTTCCCGTCTGCCGCGAGACGTCGCGAACTGGGCCGCAGCCACCAACGGGGAAGCTTCCTGCTGCAAGCCAGGGTTCGTTTGAGCACCATCTATTGGCCAATGGGGCCGTGATTAGAAAGTGGTAGGGGTCTCTAAGAAAAGCGGCCCGCATGGGGCTCGATTTAGCGTGTGAATGCTTCTGCATCTGGTCCTGGCTCACTTGGCCGGTGCTCTGACACTGGCTTATTGGGGCGCAATTAATTTCTGGTGCAGCTGTGCACATAAGACCGGCTTCGTAGAGCGGCTGGCGATGCCCTCTGTCGAGGTTCGTGGATCGGTTCGCTTCTTGTTTTGCCTTGCTGGAAGGGCGTGGAACGTTGGGTTCCGGGCGAACGTCACAACGCCATGTTGTACATGCACTCTACCTCAGGTTGAAGGATCGGGGTTACGCGGCGATCTGGTGCGTCCCATATGTTTCCAGCGACTGAGAAACTGTG